TCATGCTGTGCCCGAGATACTGTACATAACCCTATACAGAAGAATACAGAAGGTTTAGTATTTATGCAACAAATATATCTAAACCAAAATTGGAAACAAATGAGGGGAGGAAGGAAGGCTGTTATAAAGTAATTATTGAGTAAGAGTAAATTTTGTGCAGTTACAATAAACCATGTTTGTAGTGCGTGATTACAGGAGGAATGCTAAGATTAAAAATTTGTCTATTGTGAACGATTTTTAAAAGTACATATGAAATTTTCAGTTAACTGTCAAAGAATGATTTCGTTAGTTCGTGGTTCGTATCGTCATTTTTCCGAACAAATACGTTACTTTTTCTATTTATTATTTTACAGTTAAAAGGTACGAAAATATATACTTTAATCACAATCAATAAAGAAAAAAAATTTTCTCACCAATAGTTGCAATGTATTATTGTTCATTTACGAATTTTCAACTTTAAATTTTATTACGTGTTTTGCACATATAAGCCTAACAAAAACTCCATTTTGTTCAGAGCTGCCACCGAAAGTAATGCTTATTTTATTTGTTCTTTTGCGAGATGCTTCCAAAAGAAAAGGTCTTATGTTAATGAAATTTAGATATAATCTTTTATGCTTATGCGTTGCCAATAAATGTTTGAAATAAAATTCATGTAGTTTTTAACCACAAACGCATACCCCTCATCATATAAAACTGTTTATTGATGTCTACTGATGTTTTAATGCCATTTGTTGACACAAAAATTTATTGGGATATCTTAAATATTTTGATTTTAAATAGTTTTTATTAAAAAATAGGTTGGCAACGCAATATCAAATTTTTATAAACTGACATTAGTTTTGAAAAATAATTGGCAATTCTATATTGTAAATTCTATGCATGAAATATTATTTTGTTGGTAATGTAAAATTAGAATAAATTAATTAAAAATGAGTGGCACTGATAAAAAGGATAAAGATAATGAAGCTGACTGGATGGTAGTGGCCTCAAAATCGAGAATAGGACATTTCTACAAATTCAACAAAAGAACAGGCGAGAGGGTTTGGTGCAGTAGAAGTGGTACCGATATAAAAGCTGAAATACCAGCAACGCCAATAACAAACAGTTAGTTTACATTGCATTGCATAATTAAATAATAATATATAATTAAATATTAATATTTCGCTAATAGGTTCACTTAAAACTCCTGCACAGGATCGTTTAAAACGTTTACAAAATAATTTAAAGAAAAATAAAAATGATGAAAACAAAATTAATGAGAAAGCAAAAGCAGATTTGGAAGAAAGGATCAATGCCAGAAATAGAATATTTGGAAATAACAAGTACAAGGTACCAGCTGCTAAGCGTGATTCGAATCACGATGAGTCAACGGAAGGTGCAACTAAACGAAAAAGAAGTGACAGCATTAAAAGCGAGACCAAAAAGGAAGTGAATACGAATGCGACGAATAATGAGTTATTGGAGTCTTCAAATAAGTCTTCTGCTAAAACAAGTGATTCAGCTGAAGTAACACCAAAGAAAAGAAAACGCAAGGCCACAAAAACTAACTCAAACGATTTCATTCCATCGACAAAAATAAAAAAACCGGAATCTCAAACAAATTTAGTACCTGCAGAAAGCACGACCGCTGCCACAATTTGTGCAACTATCTGTAATAAAGCGATGCAACTCTTTAAGAAACAATTTTTCTCAAGCAAAACTAAAGTAGAAAACAAAAAACTAGAAGATAAAAAAGACAAAAAAACAAATGTGCCAAAGGAACCAAAGAAAAGCAGTGATATTGTTATTACCAAAGCTTGTGAATCATTGGTTACTACTTCACACACTAAAGATGTGTCTAAAACAAAATGTACTACAGCCACTGGAAGAGGTAAGCAGTATTTTGATGGTATATGCATATATTTGTTTTATAATTTCTGTTTTTAGCTAACAAGAGTTTACCGCTTTTTAATTCCAAACCCAGTGTATCAATGTTATCAACATCATATACTCAAGGTGTACCTAAATTAACTGGTGGTCCATTGACTGGAAAAGGTAAGCAGCATTTTATAACTGCATGCATACATAACATATCTAATTTTGCATTGCATCTAGACAATTTCAAATCTTGTGAATCATTGTTAGCTAGCTCAACCCTTAAAGTTGTGCCTAAATTACCTAGCTCTGCATTCACTGGAAAAGGTAAGCTGGACCTTAATTCTATATTAATATATAAATATAATATCGTATTGTTTTCAGCGAATGAACGCTTACAACGACTGCGACAGTCACTCAAACAGCAGGTAAACTTAATGGAATCCAATCTCAATGCAGACGGTGGTTCAATAAATAGGAGTTTTATTGATGCAGAGAGTCAAAATGAAAATTCTAACCCACAAGCTGTCATCAAGGAAAATGGTATAAGAAATTTGAAATAATATAAAATACGATTTAATATTAAATGTATTTACAGAAATTGAGCAAATGGATTGGGAACCCACAGAGTATACTATTGGAGAAGTATGTTACTTCGATTTTTTTTTTCAAACTGAGGCTATTATTCATATTTTATTTATTTCAAATTTTAGTACAATATAAACATTAATGTCACTTGTCCGCAACCAAAGCCAGAGCCAACTATAGAATCTACAGAAAAACAACGTATAAATGAAGACATACGTGACACCTATGAAATTTTAAATAAAAATCTTCTGCGTTTATCTGCCGAAAATAATTTTACAAATAAAACTATTACAAAAACTTGGCATAAAGACCATTTTTATTTTGTCGTGGATACAAATGTATTAATGAGACAACTTACATTTACTGATGATCTTACAAAAATGAAGTTATGCAGTAAGTACAAGTGTTATTCATACAATATTAATTTAATTTTTAATATTTTATTTATTTTTTTGTCAGATACTGAAGGCACTATTGTGTTTATACCGTATATAGTATTACAGGAGCTTGATAAACTAAAACAATTCGGTCAAACAGAGTCAGCGAAGACAATGGCATCGCGTGCTATACGCCACTTGAATGTTAAACTTGAAGCGAAAAATAAACATTTACAAGGTAAGGTATATGTTTTAATACAATGTGTAATGTTAAATATGTACTAATTAACTTCTCTCCATTTCCTTTAGCACAAAGTGTCGTCGAAGATCGCAGGCATTTAATTGATATAACTTCAGCAGATGATAGGATCATAAACTGTTGTTTACAGATTAAAGAAAATGTTGAAAATGTTATACTTTTGACTGAGGATGTTAATCTACAGAACAAAGCTCTGTGTAGCGATCTGGTAGCAACAACAAAATCAAACTTGCTTTCGTCACATCCCGAAACAAATACCAAATCATGACGAATTCAAAACTTTTTGTTTAATTTGTTTAAATTTAAGTGAAAATATATTATATAAATATATTTTTATATATGCTTTTATGTTGAGTTTTGTGCAACAAACATGAATTATATATTTTTCTAAGTGGATTTTTATAAAAATTTATTAATTAGAAATTCGATCAAATATCATTTATTAATGAAATATTTAATTAATGCATATAAGGACTAAAAGTATGTATAAAAACAAGTATTCGTATTCAAAACTAGCGGTAAATCAAAATCGATTTATATATAATTTCTACATGCAGTTTATCATGTTTATTTTGTAATAATTTTATTATTACTATAATAGTTTTAATAATGTAATAAATATTTTTTTATTATAACTTTATAATTATAATTACTTTATTATTGTAATAATTTTATCAATAAGTAAATTTCGATATTAAGATATTTTCTATGTAAATAACAAATTGAAGATGATTTAAGCAAATTTAGAATTTACGTTTTGAAATTTATTGAATAAAATGTATTTGAGTTGAGCATCTTATTTGTATTTAATTAATATTACGTCGCAACTCTTATTTTCCTGCATCACCGATTTGACATCAAATTTTAGTAGATTCACCTGATTTGAAAAATCCGAATATAGTTCTTTTCAAGATATTGAGGCTTAAAGTTGTAAACTTTTTAATAATAACTTCGCCATCCCAAGAAAGGCAAAGAACAGTAGCAATACTCAGCTTTTTTATACGGCACGTTGCTTCTAATTCTCTCTTCCACAAACCTTCCTAAGAGGTGGTTTTAATGGATTAAATTCTCACACTGTGACTGTCGTTGCTTTCCACTAAATGCGAAAAAAAATGATTCTCCCTTTCAATTTACAACGTTAGACTACTTTTTTCCATTCCATATTCCATTTTCATAACCACTTCCTACCTTTCTCTATTCATGATTCTTTCAATTTACAACGTTGGACTACTTTTTCCATTCCATATTTCATTTTCATAGCCACTTCTTACCTTTCTCTATTCACGATTCTTTCAATTTACAACGTTGGACTGAATTTTCTATTCCACTCCATTTCATTTTCATAGCCACTTCCTACCTTTCTCTATTCATGATTCTTTCAATTTAAAACGTTGAACTACTTTTTTCCATTCCATATTCATTTTCATAACCACTTTCTACCTTTCTATATCACTCTTCATCATTAATCTAAATTTTCCATCACTCTTTTCAACTTCCTACCATTCAGCTCCTCTTTCTTGTATTATTTACTACTTCCCAACATACATTCATACACTCTTACTACCACACATTCTGAATTTTTTGATGTTCACTCTCAGCCTATATTCACACTGTCGACTACTACATGCCATTCAGCATCATTTTTAACTATCACCTTTTTTCTTCCATATTTCAGCACTCTTATCAAACGTTCTACACTTCAAAGCCACTCCTCATCATTTGTCCTATACTTTCTCCCATTCATACGCACTTTCTGCTATAAGTCACTACTTTATAATATATATTCACACTTACTATCGCCATTTGGAACTATGTTCACTTTTGACTGAAATCTTGATTTTCATTATCCAATACAACTTCCTACCATTTATGGGAATTTCTCATTATGCATTCCTGCTTTCTAACACTCATTCACCCTTTCCATTATTCATTTCTACTTTTCGCTATTCACAGATCTCTTTATTTAACTTCACGTATTCCTTACCACTTTTCTGAACTCAATCCCATTTTCTACTTAACATTCCCGTGTATTTTTTTCTGTTACTTATCCTTCCTTGCCACTTCTCACCATTCTACCTCCTTTCCTACATAACATTGTCTCCCATATATTTCTTTATCCGTTTAATCCCATTCATTTGTGGCTCCTACCATTTATCCTTAGTTTTCTATAATTTATTACTGTTTCTATTGCCATTTCCTATCTAACATTATCTACGGTTTGTCCCTCGTTATCCTGGTTTTTTACTATTCATTACGTTTCCATTATTTATCTAAACTACCCTTCATCCACAGATCTCTTCGTATAACTTAACGTATCACTATATTTTACCATTTTCCGTCCTTTATTCATTTATTTCTGTTTCCTATACTTCATTACCACTATATATCCTTCAAGCTATATAGGCTTCAGGCTATATAGGCTTTAGGCTATATAGGCTTAAGGCTATATAGGCTTAAGGCTATATAGGCTTAAGGCTATATAGGCTTCAGGCTATATAGGCTTCAGGCTATATAGGCTTCAGGCTATATAGGCTTCAGGTTATATAGGCTTCAGGCTATATAGGCTTCAGGCTATATAGGCTTCAGGCTATATAGGCTTCAGGCTATATAGGCTTCAGGCTATATAGGCTTCAGGCTATATAGGCTTCAGGCTATATAGGCTTCAGGCTATATAGGCTTCAGGCTATATAGGCTTCAGGCCATATAGGCTTCAGGCTATATAGGCTTCAGGCTATATAGGCTTCAGGCTATATAGGCTTCAGGCTATATAGGCTTCAGGCTATATAGGCTTCAGGCTATATAGGCTTTATGCTATATAGGTTCCAAGCTATATAAGGCTTCAGACTATATATCCTTCAGGCTATATAGGCTTCAGGCTATATAGGCTCCAGGCTATATAGGCTCCAGACTATATAGGCTCCAGACTATATAGGCTCCAGGCTATATGGGATCTAGGTTATATGGGCTCTAGGTTATATGGGCTCCAAGCTATATAGGCTTCAAGCTATATAGACTCCAGGCTATATAGGCTCCAGACTATATAGGCTCCAGGCTATATAGGCTCCAAGCTATATAGGCTCCAGGCTATATAGACTCCAGGCTATATAGACTCCAGGCTATATAGGCTCCAGGCTATATAGGCTCCAGGCTATATAGGCTCCAGGCTATATAGGCTCAGGCTATATAGGCTCCAGGCTATATAGGCTCCAGGCTATATAGGCTCCAGGCTATATAGGCTCCAGGCTATATAGGCTCCAGGCTATATAGGCTCCAGGGTATATAGGCTCCAGGCTCATTACAGGCTCCAATAACATTTTATCTATAGCTTGAGTTTTGCAAGAAAGGAGAACTTAAATCTGACATTCCCAGCAAAGATTTTCTTCACTTTAATTGCTTCCTCTTATTTGTTCAAATTCATCAAAATTTCATGGAATTTTTCCATTAAAGCTTTATTTAGAGATTAACTGGAGATCATTTTCTTATCAATTGAAAATCTTTGTAAACAAAAAAAAATTGAAACAGCTTCTTCCGTTTTCAGATTTTTGGTAGAGATAAAAACTTACTGTACACAGACAGCAACTTTATCAGCTTCCCTCCTGTGTTCTTGGTTAGCGATGCTGTGATGCCGCGATGCCATACCAATGGAATCTTGTATAAATATTTAATTAAAAAATGAAACCAAAGAGTAAAGAATTTAACTTTTACATTATAACTTTATTCATTTTTTACATATTTGTTTTTGTTTTTTTTTTTGTTTTGTTTTTTTGTTATTATTTTGCAATAAGTTTGGCGAAGAGTTTTGTCTGAGGTTCAATTGTTTTTATTACCGCAAAGTGTGTTACAGAGTTAAGAGGTGTAGTAACTAAGGCGCTCCAAGCAAGTCGCTTGCGTAAAAGTAAGTTTCCTTTTCTTAATTCTAAGCAATATATTTTATTTCTTCTTTTGTGTATGTAAAATGAAAAGTTAAAATTAAACAAACAATAAATCCATAATATAAAATGTTAAAAATAAATTACACAAAATATTAAATCCAGTAATAAGAAGTTTAAGCGAAAGACGGTGATAAATTGTCGAAATCCAAAATGTTAATATTTTGGCCAATATTTAATGTTTATGTAGGAATAACCAATTGAACTGGCAGGAGTTCAATATATGAGTGAGTGTATCCTAGTACTACGAACCGTAAATTAAAATGCGAAGCCACAGCTTTCAAAAGGTAAATGAGCAACTGTTGTAATTATGTAGTAGCGCTACTAACTACCGGAAACAGTATTCTCTTCCTTTACTTGTACTTCGTCCTTTTCGATTTTAACTTCGCTCGTATCGATCACATCCTTTTCGATCTTGATCTCATCAATCAATTTGAACGACGCCTCTGCACGCTGCAATTGATCGGACAGCGATTTCTGTTCAGCAGTCAAGCGAAAGACTTCCTGTTGTTCTTCGGCCGTGATTGGCTTTTGCTTAGCCTTATTTTGTACGGTACGCTTGTAGGTTTCTAAGATCTCCTGATCGACTAAATCTAATTTGCGTTTAATTTCTAAACGTTTTATTTCATTGGCTGAAGCCGTTTTCAATTGTCTTAAAGCTTTGCTATTATAATCCGATATAAGAGTTAACTCATTAGTGATACGTTTAATTTCATTCAGCACTTCATCATCGTTATTATCGTCAGGATCAAGTAGACCTTGTTTAATAAGCTCCTCTTTCAGACGATTCTCGATATCGATGCAATTGCGCATCATGGACAGTGAACGAAAGTTTAGCTGAGCGGACGAATGTGTATTTTCGCTGCTGCTATTACTCGAGTCTGGGGCATTTGTTACCAGTTCTGGTGGTAGTGTTATTAGCTGCTCTTCCATAAATGCTGAAATAAATCTTTGCGTAAGGGAACCAGTTACACATTCATCTACTAAAGCATCTCCCTTCTTCAACATGACATTGGCAACAGTATTTTGTTGTTTAAGCCGATTATAATTTGGATTTGATGCTTGTTGTAAGTCTTTTATATCATCTTCTGCCCATGTTTTCGAATAATGTGGACCCAATTCTGGTATGGCTGGTACTAATGGCTCTGTATATTGTTCCAAAAGATCGTCTATTAAGCGCAAATCTTCATTTGTTATAGGCATACAATATGGTTCTACAGACAACCAAAATTTATTTGGTGTATCATTTTTAGGCAGTGTCACTTTTGGCGCATGATGCTCGCCACTGCGCGCTTGGCCAGCTGGCACAGTTAAAGTATTTTGCACAACCGTTGGCGTGGAATCTGTACTATCGTCAGTATGCTGTTGTGGATTAGGACTTTTCTTAGCGTTTTTTATATGTTTTACGGAACTTTTTGGTTTACGTGTTAATTGTGTACTTGTGTCAGTATCACGCTTTCGTTTGCCCGATGAAGATTGCACAGCTGGCGATGAAGGCGCTTTCTCACCACTCGTTGTATGTTTCGACCGACGCTCATTGCGTCGTTCATCTTTATCTAAACTTTCATACTCAGCCTTGAGTACACGATATCGTAATGCAACATTTGACAATAAAGTTTCTAACTCAGCTTGTATTTTGTCCAAATCTTCAGCAGACAGATAGTCTTCACTTGAACGTTGCAAAACGTTATAGTAGGTTGGTAGTTGCTTAGCATTGTCCTTGCTTTTGATTAGTGGTATGCTGCCGTTGTTGACAGCATCTACGTACAGTACAAAATCTTTGTTAAAATCTTTCGTGTAATTATGGAAAATTGTATTACCTGCGTTATTGCTTGAGGAATATGATTTGGCATTTTTTGAAGCCATTTTATTTATAGTATTAATAATTTATTTTATTATTAATTTATTTTGTTTACAATAATTTATATGGCAGCAAATATTTTTTCTGGAAATGTCAAAAATTAACGTTGCCAACTTCATTAATAACGCAAAGCGATATGGCATACCAATGCGTAAATGAATTTACACTTCGCTTGTGCGAACGAATAAATAATGCGCATTGGTTGTGAATGCTTATATATGCTGTGGAATTAAAACATTTACTGCATAATCTTATATTTACATATAAAGAAAATGTGGAAATCTATATACGTATATATTTTTTCATTATTTTCAATAAACGTTTATAATCAATTGCAAACAATAAATTTAAGTTAATATGTTGCTCTGACTACGGGGATCATAAAATATGAAGTTTATATTGTTGGGTGTTTTGTTAAATAAATTATTTATGTAAACACATATTTTTTTAATAATAATATTATTTCCTCATCATCATGCTATTTTATATGTTGGTATTTAAGAAATCATGTGGGGTATATTATGATTACAGTCACGTCACCGCAATTGTTGCTTTCAATGCAAAATGAAAATTTGACACTGACAGCTCACTTAATTTTGCAGTAACAATTATGGTGACGTCACTGCAATCATAACAATTAATTTAAGTGTAAACACTTAAATTTTTTTTTGGGGCTTATTTTCTGCCTTTATTCATGTATAAATAAAATATTTAATTTTACCGAACTTTGGGTCGTTTATTTAACGCATTGAAAATTAAATTACATTAATTTTATTATATAAATCGAACATTTTTTTTAAATTTTATTTTTAACAATTTTTTTTTATAAATATTTTGACTTTCCTCATAGATCGTGTGTATACAATCTAGAATATATTGATATATCAATAAAATTGTAGAAAGTGAAAATAAATTGTTTAACGTATGAGTATAAAGTAAATATTAATAACAAATTCAAATCACAATTTCCAGTTTAATTTCAAATTGTTTTATAAAGCATTTTATTTAATTTTATATATTTATAATTTAATTTATATTCAATATTTATTATGTTGTGAGTAATTGTGATTTTAATAAGCGCATCAGATCAATTATTTTATTATTATTTAATTTTCATAAATAAACAATGAACATATTTATTATATATAATAAATTTTTGACAAACACTTCGAGTAACTAAATGTCAAAAGTGAAAATCGCTAATTTAAAAAATTCCATAAACGAGCCGCAGGTATAAAAAAACTTGCAACAAAAAGGTTAAACGCAGTCTCAACGCAGATACTATCATCATCCCTACAGTTAATAATTCTCGCATAATATTTTCAACAGTTATTAAATTATATTACAATTATAAATATTTTCAAATAAAATTATGTTAGTCTATTAGAAAATATTTCAAAAATAATAATATATTATTTCACAAACATACCTTTTTGATGTAATTGTTTTCTCAACTTAATTAAAAAAAGTAGTTTTCAGTTAAGGCAACCCTGTTTTGTCTTCTCAGCTGATTTTGTGTTTAGTAGCCGTCGTACTTTTGTTGTGTTCGTTGCGTTCGCGTTTGTTGTTATTTCTTTTTTTTTTTATTGAAGACGTTTTATAATTTAATACTGTAAAACTTGTTAGTGTAAAAATATTTGATAAGGAAACTGAGTGTACTTAATTTACAACATGAAATAAAAATATACCTACGTAATTGCGACAACCTTAAATTAAAATTTGTAAATGATTTTTCACAAATATAAAATAAAATAATAAATGTTATATATTAAACAAAACAATATTTGCGATATAAACAAGTTTCTTAGCTGTGCTAAAAGCAGCAACAGCAGCAGTAATTGGTAAATAAAATATTTTCTGTTTCACAGAGTTTTGTCAATATAAAAATTAATCTTAATCAACGCAGAACAACAATAACAACACAAAATAAAACAATAAAATAATTTAATTAATAAATAAGCAACAATTTGCAATATAATTACATAAAAACTTTATTCAATTATTGTTCTTAATATCATACATAATTTTTTTTTTTTCTAATATAAAACTCTAATATGAAACTCGTGACTTTTCTTGTATTTTAATTAATTAATTGTTCTCATATGTGTAATTTAAAAAGACACAAAAATTAATTAATTGTAGTTCATTAAATGTTCTGATAGCGAACATCAGCGCTGTGAACATTTTCACAGAATCATGTTACATCAGCAATGCACACACTCCGCTTCCCCTTTGATTGCATTCGCTGCACTAAGTCTTCTTCTTCACGTGTGCAATTAATTCGCCTTTGCTCTTTTGTGCTTTTGTTTTGATGAAATTTATTGGAGAGTTCTTTTTTGCCGCTACAATATCGCCAGAACCCTTCTTATGATCGCTAAGAAAAAAATAATCATATTTTATTGTTTTACAGTTGGAAATGAAAAAGAAAAACAATATCTTAATACCGAACATGTGATAAGTCAACTTATTTTACTGCGAATTTGTAGTCATAAATTATTTAAACTTTCACACAAACGTGAATCACTTCAA